GTGGTGTGGGACCGGATGCCCTCTGTCAGAGTAGGCCTGATGCAAAGGCAGCACTCTGCAGAATCTTATCATTGTTGATGATGATGACTATGATGACCCTATACAGCAAGAGCCATCCCCTCCTCCCTATGAAGACTCCCCACCCCTCCAGTCCCATCAGCCCAGCCCATCTGTGTGTTCTCTCCAGACGCCTACAGGGAACAGCTCAGAACAGACAGAGCTGATACCAGACTCCCTACCAGACCTGGAGGGGAGTGAGCAAGGCTGGGGGGCTGGGGTTCTCTCCCCAGGCCCAAGTCCCCTTTCTCTTCAACTGGCTCAGATCAGACCAGAGGTGGTTTTGCTAGCCTGAGCTTGGATGTAAAGAACATCCAGGTCCTGGGCTTCTATATCCAACACCCTTCATCTCCTCCATTTGATAACTCTTATGGGGCCTCCATGGCTCATTCTGGCCACTATCCTTCCCTCCTACCCCCACACCTCCAGGAAGGCACTAGCAGCTGCTCTCCTCTCTTCTTCCTGAGACCTGGGCACAGAAGAGCTACATTCTCCTCCCAGGGCTGGCTGGGTAACTGCATGAAGGAAGGATCTATTTCTCCCTCCACCTTGGAGCTCTCACTTTGCTGCTTTGTCTGAATCTCCCTTTGATATCTTGTCCAGTCTCCTCCCTTTAGGCACTACTACACCTAGCCCAGGTGGAACAGGTGAGGAACCTTCTCTTTTGAAAACATTCCAGAGCTAGTGAAGAAGACTTAAGAATCATTCTGCTGAACCCCAGACATGTTGGAGGGGGCAGGTTAGTGGTTTTAAAATTCAATTCAATTCAACATTTATTAAGCACCTATTATGCCAGGTACTGTGGCAGGTCCTAGGGATGCAAATACAAATGTGATATCCACATAGGCCTTACAAGTCTAGTAGGGTGAAACGAAATGTATGTAGATAAGAATGCTACACAGTGGAATGTAAAGCCAAGGAAAATCCAGGCAAAGAGCTCTAGGAAAGGGGACAAGAGAATGATTTCAGGTTTTATCAAAGAGGTAGCACCTGAACTGGGGTTTTGGATAGGCACTGGTGAGGAGGTACACCACCTGTAGAGTATGGGCAAGGATACGAAGGCACCAAAATGTTGTAAGATCAGAGAACCATCCCAGTCAGCTGGATTGTAGAATGAATGAAGGAGGGTCATGGGAAGAAATAAGACTGAGTGGAGAGCTTCAAATTGTATTTTATCCTATAGGCTATAATAAGGAGCCACTGAAAGTTTTGAGTTGGACAATGACAGGATGCTATAAGTGAAGGTAGGGAGGCCGGTTAGAAGGCTATTAAAACAGTCCAGGTGGGTTGTGATGAGGGCCAGAACTAGGACCCAGGCACTGTGTGAGTAGAGAGGAAGATTGTGGGGATGGAATCCACAGTATTGAGCAACTCATTAGATGTTGGGAATGAGGGATTGGAAATAGTTAGCATTTATAGAATGCTTTAAAGTTTGGAAAGCACTTTACAAGTATCTCATTTGATCCTTACCCTGAGATGTTAGGTGCTATTATTGGCCTCATTTTACAGATGGGGAAACTGAGGTAGACAGAGGTTAAGTGACTTGCCCAGGCTCACAAAGCTAGTAAGTGTCTGAGATCAAATTTGAATTCAGGTTTTCCTGCATTCTATTCCCTCTGCCACCAAGCTGCCTCTGAAGAATCAAAGGTGATTTTAAGGTTGGAGTCTGGGTGGTAGCACTGTTAGAGAGAATAAGCTCTTTATTTCAGCCTGAATTTCTTTTTAACTTTCAAGTGCAGGGGGATGTCTTAATTCCTTTTTATCGCTCTTCTCTCTTCCTGGTTAAATAACCTCAATTCTTTCACCATTGTTCTGGGCTCAGTCATCTGGATATTATTTACTGAGTGTCTCTTATGGGCCTAGCATTATTCTAGGTGAATATGGGGACACAGAGAAAGTGTATAAGTCAGGGTCCCTGCCCTCAAGCAGCCTATAATCCTATATGTTTATAATTGGGAAGATGAGGCAAAAACAGAAAACAAGTGAAAGTAGAACACAGTATGTAATTAAATACTAACTAGTATCACGTAGACTATACATAACTGCTGTAGGACTTTGAAGGGAGATCACTCAAGGCTGAAGTAGTTTGAGAAGGCTTCATGGGAGAAGTGGGAATTGAGTTGTATGAAGGATGTGCTGGATTGGAGGGGAGGAAAAGCCATTCCAGGGAGGCCCTGAATGAAGGCAGCAAGAATGAACTGAGTGAATATGACACAATGAAGACACTACCCTGAATAAAGGGGCATAAGCAGAAGAGGGGTTGGGCTACAGAGGGCCTTGGAAGCCAGGCACAGGAGTTGCCTGGGTGATTCCCAATGAGATCTTCTCCCAAGTTCTCACTCCACTTCTGCTGAGGTTCTAACAAGTTTAAAGAAAGCCATTAGTGCTCACAGATATCATCCTCTTACTTAAATAGCCCAGGACCCTGCTTACTTTCTTAGCAGAAGGTAGAGCTGTGGAATGGCAGGACTGAAAGGGACCTTAGGGGGTCATCTAGCACAATGGTTCCCAAAGTGTGGTCTGGGGATCCCAGGGAGTCCCCAAGAACTTTTCAGGGGACCTGAAAGGGCAAAATTATTTTCATAATGA